AAGGGTTCATGTGCACTTTAAAGCCTTCTAAGGGCTTTTTTAAATGCTGACGGGTATTACACACAAGTTCCAGGTAAAGAAAACTAAAAACTCACCCTTTCTCTATGAATTTATACTGCTGCTCGTTATTGATGTCACTAGTGGGTGTGGCCATACACGTGTCTGGGAATATCACGAGTTCTACTTTAGATTTAACCACCACTTGAAGGAATAACCGCTGGCTAAGGGCCACGGACACGGGATATTGATTGAACGGTTCTTTATACTGGTTGGTTTTGTACATATCCATCAGGAACGTAAAATTGCCGCGTCCATCTGCGAATAAAATCACCAAAGATCAGACAAGTTGGAGTTTTTTTGAAAACTATAAATGCAAAACAAATGCATCTAGCTTAATCACACGGTGCTATGAAAAAGGTTTGTTTAAACCCGCGTAACATCATTCTAAAGCACGGTTTCACAAATCCCACAAAATCCATTCAGCATATTCTAATTACCTGCAGCCGAGTAGAAAACCTTCATTCTCGGAGAAAAACTCACCACGGAGAGAGTTCTTCTTTTAGCGTAGCGGCAGTCGAACCCCAAGCGTACGCTGTACCTTCGTGTGATCAAACGATGGCCCGTCTCTTCGGTATGACCATGGATCGTATTCCAGTAAAAGATGTTTTCCTTGGTCGAGTTGTGGTACGTGCCACACCCATCTAGTGGCGCTCTAAACACAGCAAGTGTCTCGTTGATGAAGACGGGTTTACAAGACGAGTCTTCAAGTCGTAGTGAGTCAGGGACCAGAGCATCCTTGGCTTCGAAGCGCGCGAGGTCCACGGTGACTAACATGTTGTCTTTATTGCACTGAACGGTGAACTCTAAAATAGCAGAAATCGATCCGTTACCGTTAGCTATACGAAGAATATATGCAGGAATCCCGAGGGGGGAGGGGGAGGGGAGTTCAGTTAAGGGTGATGGGATACCTTGGGGCTACGAAGATGGAGACGAAACACTCGGGCTATATTTAGAACACTAGTATTAATATYAGCAAATAATGTGATATGATTGACGCTACCGTGGCACTTAAATGTTCATCCAAGGCAACCATTTAAAAAGCACGACTACCCCATCCACGTCAGACTCATCAACCAATCAAAAAGCACGACTACCCCACCCACGTCAGACTTATCAACCAATCAAAAAGCACGACTACCCCATCCACGTCAGACTCATCAACCAATCAAATGGAACGACTATCTAAGACTTGGGGATTGACAAAGCACTCAAGAAGTGAGCGTTCTTCATAACTGCACACATAAAATAAAAAATAAAATTTTTTATTTAAATGTCTAGTCGTTTTAGCGCTTTCGCATGCACTAATTGGGGACACTTTTCGCTCACACGCACTACCACTTCATTTAATATTACATACAGCATGCTAGCGTATTCTCTTTCTTCCGAAAAGAAAAGAAAAAAGGCCGCAACTTACTCTGATCTTCTGATCTTCCGTTTCCATTATTTGAGGCTTGGATCCCCTGTACGTAACTTCTCGTACTTGAGTTCGTCGAGTTTTCCTCTTCGACCTGTCCCAGCGAATTCTCCATCTTGTTCGTTGGAGGTTTAGTCGTTGTTGGAGGCGCAGTGCTGATCGTCGTAGGACGAGGTGTTGTTGGTACAATATCTAAACGAGAAAACAAAATTGTGACGGCCACAGGGTTGTGTACGACGAGGACGGATCGTGGAGAAATCGCGGGACAAGGCAGTGTGGTCAAGATAATGTCTCGAAGCAGTGGCGCACTCGCCTCTAACATCCGGGGTCTCGGGTTTGATTCGTGGATTCGTTTATTACTAGAGTTTGTCGGGTCTCTTCCATAATTCGAGGGGGTTTTTTCTTTGGGTTCTTCGTGCACTGATTTTGATCAGCACATTTTACATTTTATGCACATGTCATACTCCCCCCTTCCCCCTAAGTTACAATGTACACAAAAGCAAAGAGGATACGTACCAATGTCAGAACAGAGTTGACCCATCTTGTTGAAGCCGTGCGTGACATGACTCTCTAAACATCTTGTCTGTCCAATGGGACAATCATCTAACGCTGAAGTATAGAAGATAGGCCGACGTTAATACACCGATCCCACAATCACTGTTCTACCTACATAGTTACAGTTGCTATTTTGACAAGCTAAAATGTGTTTTTGTTATGCAGTATGGAATGCCTTCATAACGTAACCACTAAAACATCTTATGAAAAGGACGTTTGCTCGATGGCGTCATTGACCTCTACTAACAGACTCCCTTGCACACTTTCTTTTGTTCAGTTAATTAGCACCCATTACCTTACTATTCTCATGAGGGAATACAAATTTAATTAAGAAAGAAAATTTGCGAAGCATCTTGGTATTGGTAGTAAGAAGACTTTATCATGCAAACGTCTTATTTGAGTTTGTGGGGTCGAACATTCTGTATTCCATTGGGAAAACTACCCATTGTTTGAGTGGACACCGACCGACCGACCGACCGACCGACCGACCGACCGACCGACCGATACATAACTCATCTTTAGGTACTTACAAACTGTCCGGTAGGTAAGCAAGAAACCAGACCAGTATTTATCGGGAGTAGCTAATAGCTTTAACCAAATGGTGCGAGTAGAATCTATCTCTGGAAGTTCTTCACAGCCACAGTAATCCTGCCTCTTGTCCCCTGTATCACTTAGTTTAATCATATTATCTAACTCACAAAGTCGTCGCCCCTTTCCTTTATAGATTCCCATCCATTCGAAGGTGACTTGCATGCGATGATTGCTCGGTACTTCGAAATTCCACAGGCAAATTTTATCATCAGAAAAATTAGAAGGAAAGCCAGGGCTTATCAAGTGTCCGGATCGCTTATTGATAATGGTTCTGTAGGTACAAGTATCTGAGGGAGTAAATAAAGGATTATAATGAAGGGGTAACTGGTTAGCCATGTGCACCAAATACCCGGTACCGGGGATATATAGTTGGGAGGGCAGGACGACAATATATGAGATAAGAACCTTTATATTAGCCATGTGCACCAAATACCCGGTACCGAGGATATATAATGGAGAGGGCAGGACGACAATATATGAGATGAGAACCTTTATATTAGCTATGTGCACCAAATACCCGGTACCGCGGATATATAGTGGGGAGGGCAGTACGACAATATATGAGATGAGAACCTTTATATTAGCCGTGTGCACCAAATACCCGGTACCGGGGATATATAGTGGGGAGGGCAGTACGACAATATATGAGATTTTGGGCTCAAATTTCATTCCCAGTTGTATCGTTATGAATCATTCTCATCATCATGCATCAGACATCATTACCATCATCATCATCCTCACCATCATCATCATCATCATCATCACCATCATCGCCATCATTATCATGCATCATCAATGTTATCATCGTCATCATCATCATCATGCATTATCCCTAATCACCTGATAAAGGGTCCTTGGCTTCACACGTGATCCAGTCTGAGGAGAGAATAAGAGTAGAATTCGATCATTCAGTAACAGCATGCTTCAACGTTTACTCCAATTCATCACGATTATCTGGTTTCTTGTCTCTTACACAGCTTCTACATTGAACCAATCAAATTGCGTAAACATTCACGCCATGCAATCACAATGCAGATGCCTGAACAAGGAAGCCATTCGAGAGTAAGTCACGTGACTAGTGTGTAATTACCTCGAGGTAAAGCCTTGAATAGTATTCTCAGTTTTCCTCTCCCAGCGTTGCTATTGGATACCAGTACGATAGTCATCGAGGTACCCGTTGAGTATGTAATCAAGGTACCTTTAGCACACGGGCCGTAAAAACCAACCCGAGAGTTCTCAGTCATGTTATCTCCGTCATAGATGTATAACCGGTCTCGCAGGTCACTTAATGATAGTGTCTTTATAGCGATTTTGATTCTCTGTGAAGGTTCGGCCGCCTTTACAGTCCATACACACTTCATGGAATCGTGACCGTCTGTGTAGTTGGGCTGGATTATTTCATCGAACGTTGTGTTTGTAAAGCGAGCAGTGGCGGTTATGAAGTTGTGTCCCGGTGAGCATATCAGATCTGCAATAAAATAACGATAAAAACAATTAGTTGAAATGAATGGAAAGTGGTATTCAAACTTGTTTGTTATTTCAATCTTCGATATTTGATTGGTTTGTCCACTACGCACTCTTGAATTCGTTTAAGGAAATATATTATAATGTAGCCGGCCTCGCTTGTCAGGCGCATTCACGAACATTCATTCAATAAATCGTTCTTTGGATACCCTTCGACAGGTAATTCCAAATGGAAAGTGAATATCGATATACGACCAGTTTCCCGCCAATAATGCCAAGCGCGGCTGTCACGTGATCCTCCACCGCCATATTGAATGAAAACTGAAAATCCTTGATGGGTGTTTTTTTTTACACGCATATATATACCTTTCCTGAGGGAGTACAAGGGTAGCGACGCTAGTTAGAAGAAAAAAAGACGGTAGTTTCAGTATTGTACAGGTCACGTGGTATTTTCCCGCCAAAACGTCTACACTTTTTAGTATCAAACTTATGGCTGAAAATGTTCAGTCACGTGACCAACATGCATATTTAATGAAGAAAAAAGCCGCTGGTTAACAAGACAGCAGTTTCATCGCTTTTATCGTATTTGCTTTTTGACTTCAAATCGTCAGTTCGACCTTGTCATTTGGAAACTTTTAGAGCAAAGGGTGTGTCTGACCTCAGCTTATGATACAGCATTGCATCTGTGCCTGATTCTCTTAATGGACTTCCTACTTCTTTCTAATTGACGTGGCGTCGATCTCTTGAGACTTCAAACATCTGACACGCTGTTTGTTAATAATATCGAATATCAACGGCTTACGGCGAGGGAAAACGTAATTAACACCAGCTGTTAGGTAATTTGGAACTGATCAATAATGTTTTATAAACTATATGTAGCGCTTTTACTTGATGATGGACATAACAACGAATGATATACTATGAGAAAAATTGTCTGTAAGATGGCCAATTAAATATCTACATTAGGCTGCATTCATAATGTATGGCAGAGGGGGGGGGGGGGGAGGGGAAATCCTGAATTGACAAAAAAATTCTCAAGACCCCCCCCCCCCTCCCCTTGATGTCATCCAAAAAATAACTATCCCCCCCCCCGGGCAATCTCTCGTAGCTTCTTCTAAAATGTTTGCATCCCCCCAATTCTCTGGCATCAAATATCCCGATATTACTGGATGAAAATGGTATCAGATATCTTGATATAAGATAAAAAGAGTGTTATCGATGTCTAGATCTATGTTAATGTGTATGTTAATATTTATAGAAAGAAATGATGATTAAGCAAGTGGTTAGAAATGACAAAAAATTACGGCCGAATTAAAAAGCTTTGTCGCCACATTTCTCACTTGACGTCCTTGCGGTCTCTCCCAGATCTCATATCATGTTAAATGGCTATTTTAAAAGTAATATATGAAGGAATATAAATAATAAATAGCGATACAAATGGGTGTAGTTCACCGCAGACTTATGATCGCTAACTAATCTAGGTTCCATAATCATTACTTATCTGCTGTGGTGAACGATACTTTATCAAACGAAATATTCTCACTATTCTACGAATATACACAAAGAAATGCCACTACGGCGCGCTTCGAGTGAATTCATGTGATCGGCCACATCCTCGCTCACTGGCACGAATCACTGACAATCCCAAGAAAAAGAAATAACAAAAGACATGGCCAATCTCTTACCCAGACCCTTCTCCCCCCCAAAAAATCGTTTTTTCGTTAGAAAGCCGAGAAGGCTTTGGGTACGAGAATGAAGACATGGCAGTCTTTAAATTACGCGAAATCAAAATATGGCGACCAATTTGAATAATTAGCTATTGTTCTGGACTGACTTGCCTCGTGTTCACGTGGAAACCTGGAACCGTTTTCACATGTAGGAGAGGCTAGTCAGTTCCAATTGGTCGCCATATTTAGATTCGGTGTATAATTAGAAAAATACTAGCGGGACATTTCACCGGTTCGGGGAGGGGGGTAGGGGGTCGGCGTGGGATAAGGTTTTAGGGAAATATTTTAAAAACATATAAAGCTTCATGTTTGTAATCTTTTTCTCTTTTTGTCCGTGTTCAGGCAGAGTCAATCCCAGCCCGACAGATTTTACTAGATTAAATCATGGATTAACTTTCTAATCTGCTGTTAAGTGGGAAGTTATTAGCCAAGATTGCTTTCCTTTAACGCTTCGCAAAACGAAATTATTGAAACTCTGAACAACCAATAGTCCATTTTACAGCTCTAATTCAGAGACCACGAATAATAGTTCCAGTTCGAGGGTGCAGTTTCCGCGCATAGCAAAACTATACTTTTTATCGTGCGCAGCCGAAACTGCAGCCTCAGCTTGGAACTATTGTTCTAGGTCACTGAACGGAACTGTAAAATGGAGTATGGTACGAATGACAATAGTTGCAAACGATTCCGGAAATGTTGATCTTGAGGTGGTGTTTGTTACATATAGTTTCAATGGAAATCTTTCATCTTTTCTTGTTCAAAAGTATATGAGCCAATTATTGTATCCAATTTCAAGATCGCTTCTGAACAAAAAGTGCTGCAAGTTTGTTGATCAATTTTTAATTATTAACCTTCAATCAAACCTCCATTAGAAGGACAACGCGGTAAATAGTGTTTTCTATTTCTCGTTGGCTCTGTACCCTGACAAGACAAATCCAATGCAGTAATTAGACTTCATGTTGTCAAACAGACAGGAAGTTAATTATTTCAGGCTCATTTGCGATTATGCCTGCGACACTTGGTTTTGACCCGCAGTCAGTCATTCAAGCTAGTGTGGGTTTTTATACTTTGTCTTTGCGACGCATCGGATAATATGCGGCTGGTTTCTATAATCCTATTAATATTTTAAGCTGATGTGATGAGGAGAAAGAGGAATATGAACAGAAGAGTGGCGTAAGCTCACGAAACATCTTTTAACATCTGTATGAGTGAGAAAATGTGTACAGAAACGCCCAAAGCTAGTCCGGAGATGGTAGGTTTATGTATAGACGGGCTTAAACATCACATAGGTCATATTTCATTCCTCGTTTGACCGTAGGAAATATAAAGTATAAGAGGTAATTCAGCTTATTGTCTCGATGATAATTATCAAGTAAGATGGTTTTTTCCTGTGGCTTGTAAATAGTAAGGAGAAACAGATGGATTGGCGTAAGAGATCAGCCTAGGTCGACCTGATGTGTTTGCATGTCGTACGGCGTGTTTTCGAATTCGATTAAGCTGAAATACTTTAAAACCGGCAAGAGACATAAACAATTAAGACATGATTAATAACCATGTCTGGAAGATTCTTTCTGAAGTGTTTTAATGCAGGTGTAGCACAAAACCTCAAAAACATCCTTCATTGAAGACGCCTTTTTCATTAATCAGTCAAGGGGGAAAAATAGTAAAAAATATTATGTAAAAATGTCGTTTTTTTCGCTATTTTCTTTCTAGCTCGTTGCTATTCATATCAATGGGAACTCTAAATTCCGATACAATTTGCAAGTTCAGTTACTTGAGGAAAATAACGTGAATGAGATTGAATAGCAAAAAAACAAGTTATAGATTCCACAACCAGACACAACTCGAAGAATAGCTTCAGGACAAGATTCGTGAGATTGTGAGAGTGAAGGTATTTCGTTTAGGATTACAACTTCAAGAAAATAAACCGAACCTCGAGAATCAAATGAAGCTTCGACGGCCAGTCTTTGCTTACACTTCGTTCGTTCTATTAATAAAATTCTGATTTCTTGATAGTATTTGTAAACAAAAATAAGAAGACTCCTGCCTGGAGAGATACGGAAAGGTTTAAAATCAAAATAAATAGGAATATAATTGGAAATTGTGTCACTAAAATTATTATTTTAAGGACAGCTATTAGAGTAAAGACCTTGAAGAAAGTTTGTACCGTCGTAGTAAAAAAAATTCGAGGCAAGACATTCCGTAGAAATTTTCGAGGTATGAATACCTCTCAACGCGCGGTTATAAAAGACATATAAAAGGATAGTTTGACTTAATCATTTGAGTTTACTGTACCTTGTATGGCTGCTGTGTTGACCGAGAGAACAGAAGCAAAAAGGAGAAAGAAGTATCCACATGTCATTCTGTTTGAAGCACGCGTGCAGAAGAAGAGCTTGTTTCTTCCGTTTATAGGGTGTACCAGGGCAGTTTCTGTTCACTCGAGAGCCTCTTCGCCTTACAAATTCACTAAAATCCCCCAAAATCTGTACCAGAAATGGAACGGCCTGCTAGCAGATGCCATTAGGTTACCTAAACAGTTATGGTTAACTCATCATAACAGTTAAACTTGGGAGCGTACCAACTGAGACTAATAAAGGAATCAAAAATCCGTCACGCGTAATCTGCATACTTCTCGCTTGTGTGACCATGCGTGTCACACGTGAGAATGTATTGGTTTTTTTCATTAGTAAGATGTCGAGAGCAAGCGAAAAGGTTAGATAGTACTATCCGATGTCTCATTGCTCTCCTCTAGTTCTACTGATAAATAAAGTTTGTGATAATAAATGAATATTAGGACTGGGATAGTTTGTTTACTGTGAACTCTATATCTAGACAGGTTCTGTTTGCCAATATGAAAATTATTGCAAGAATGTCSCAAGTTTATTGTTCTCTGCCAGAGATAAATCCCGAATGTGTGTTTTTTYCCTAAAAGAATCAAAGGTCAACAGCTCAGTATCTTTCAAAAATAATTAAAGATAGTAACTTTATCAGGCAAGACTAAAATATATTCTGTAAATCTCGAGCTGTTTTAATCGTTCTTTGATATCAATTCTCAAATATTATTATTATGATGATGATGTATCACGAATGAGTCGGTCTTGGAGTCTTCAATATCGCGTGAATGTTTGACATTTTTGTGTCTTTTACGATAGACTTAGTACCCCTGGGTTATTTTGATATCTAAATCTTTACCCTCTGTGCTATTGTTTCGTTTAGTTCGACTAAAAACGAAAGATGGGTCTGCTGTTCGCTTGAAATTATATAAAAAACATTAAAAAAGAAAAAATAGCATCGAAAAAAATCCTTAAATCTATCAAAAAGCAAAATGTAGACTGAGAAAGATAATGTTTTTAGTGCTCCTAAGAAAGAGAGTGCAKCTGAAATGCGAAAGAAAGTTCTGGAAATTTAGCATAGACTCGGCATGAAGGCTGCCTAAAGCTARAGCGAATGACAAGATACCCATAGTTCCTCGATAGGCGTGCTAATCACGTGACTATTTCCCGCCATTTTAAACAATCAAACGGGCCATTTAACATCAAAACAATGCCGAATATATTGATTATTTTGTATATTTGTTTCTTATTTGTTTTTTATTTTTGTGATAAGTGCACTTGGAACGAGATATATGGGAACGAGAATGTCTGTGGTTGACAATAATTTTGTGTATGCGCATCATTACGCTAGTTTTGCATTCGATGCATACCGCTTTTTTCGAAGACCGCAGACTCATGAGCACAGGCTTAGCCTCTTTTATGTAATATTTCAAAGCCTCTAATATCGGACTGGAACTAATTGCTTGGACTTGAAATCCCGTCCAGTCCGATATTGGAGGCTTTGAAATGATCGACTTCTCATGCTCATTATTATTCGATTTGGAGTAACTACAGACTGAATTCAGTCCTTTCACATGACTTTACCAGGTTTCAAGTATCATCATGTGACCCAAACATAGCCCATTGATTGGCTGGTTTCACGCTCATGAATTATTATTAATGAGTATGAGAAAAACTACTCACAGATACCATTAAAAGTCCATAGGATTTCAAAACTATGCACATTCTTTAATTAAAGTTGAGTTTTGCAAATAATTTGCACTTAAGCGAGGCTTAAGCAATTAGTTCCAGCCTCGGACTGGAACTAATTGCTTGGACTTGAAATCCCGTCCAGTCCGATATTGGAGGCTTTGAAATGACTTCTCATGCTCATTATCATTCGAAATGGAGTAACTGGAACAAAATTATAAATTCAGTCCTAGGACTGCAGACCTAATTCACTCCTTTCACAAGACTTTACCAGGTTTCAAGTAACATCATGTGTCCCAAAAATAGCCCATYGATTGGCTGGTTTCCTCATGAATTATTAATGAGTATGAGAAAAACTACTCACAGATACCATTAAAAGTCCATAGGATTTCAAAACTATGCACATTCTTTAATTAAAGATAATAAAAAAATTCATAACGTGTTTTAAACATCTTATGAGATGAGCTTGCTTTTATTTCAAAAGGCACATCGTTCCAGCTTACCGCACTTGCATATTTCACGCCAAATTTACCATAATTCAACTTTACTTGGGGCAGAGAAAGATGTCTATTTGATGCAGAGCAAGTATTGTGGCTGTGAGAAARCTGAACTTCTTTAAAGTAGTATTTTTTAAAAATTAAAGTACTAACCGCAATGTAATTATGCAACTCTAATTTAGTCCACAATTTAAGTTATCCCAATTATTCCTATGGAGAGTTAGCCAATCATGGATCAGCTCCATACCCTGAGGCTAAACAGTCAACGAGCAATGAGTCCAGTATCATCAAATATTTAACGTAGGGTCTTGAATTATAACATTATTTATAATAGCACAGGTGTTTGTACCTTTTAGTAACTCAGGAGATAGTTTTCAACAAGAGTAAAGAGAAGTTTTAAGACTCCATTATGATAAGAGGTGGTCAAGGAAGGTTTTTTCTGACGTTTTGCTTTCTCGCTACTTTGGACGCCTCTGTTGCTAGTTGTCACAAGCAAACCTTCCCTAACACTAGCCCAGACACGTGGACTTTTATCCTTTTGACAAAAGTGAGTCGAATATTAAGGGGCCATCGCGTGGTGAGAAAGAAAGTCCGTTCGTTGCTCGAGTGCTTCGATGAATGCTTAAGGTTTCATACCTGTTTGTCCGTCAACTACATCACAAAACCTGAGTCAACTATCTGTCACGTAAACTACAAAAGCACTTCAGTAAGTGGGACTGAACTTGATAAAAGGAATAACTCTACGTACTATGAGGTGGACCATTTGCTGTTAAAAGAGGTATTAACGTCAAGGCAATGGATTTTTTGCTTATTATATTTGGCCTCGCAAATGTTAAGCTAGTTTTTACTGTGCTTGTGTTTGCATCAAGACTGTTTTTATTGTCAACTGATTACAAGCCTTTTATCTTTTTCGTTGTGCAGTTTTAATTTTAGCTGAAAAATCGGGGTAAATGCTGTACAATAATAACTTGGGTTCTCTATGCATCCTTTTCTTTCTTTCTTCCTTTTTTTCCTTTCTTTATTTCTTTTTTCCTACCTTGCCTTTTAGTAATTTCTAGGCAATAGAATAACGATTACCTAATATGTCCATTCATTTAAGTATATATTTCAAATCCTTGTTATATGCGCGGTAACTGCACAATGTGTTTACTGTATATCATTTTACATGGAATTTCCGCGCAAAAAAAATATTAAACTATTAAACTATCATAATTCAATTTGCAGCTGCATAAGTTGCTTCATATACTGCGAGGATCAGTTCAATTTGATAAACTATTATTGTTATAATATGAGCGGTGTATTTCAAGATGGAACGTCTCATTAGTCGTCATTAAAAATCCAAAAGGCATGCTCTCCTAGTATAGGACTAAAAGTACAACAGCACACAGGCCTTAGGATGAAGTGAATTAATCCTTACAAACGACATCAAGTTTACTTTTAGACTTTGAGAAATGATAAAATTTTTAGAAAAAAAAATTTAAAAAGTTTTTCAAAATGAAGGCCCAGACTGGACGCAAACACAAGCATAAAAAAAAAAGGAATTCTGTCTTCCATCTATCACTTCCCTCAGTTTACGTTATTTCGATTTTAAAATAGCAACCGCTTTCCCCAAAAGGTGTGGACAAATTTTGTCTCATGGTTAATACCGTGTTAAACTATCTATTTGACCGTAAACAGGTTTTCCTGGGACAAGATGGCAAAAGTTGTGATGTCTTGGAGGAAAGACCTTCCGTACAACCGAATGATAGTGGGTCAGGCTCTGGTCAGGATGGAGTTTGACCCGTTCACACCTGAACAAGGCTTACTAAACAAGTTTCAAACCTTGTTTAACTAAAGTACCTCGGGGATGAAGTTTTATTCCTGTTTAAAGATGGGGTCATCCTTCACGAATTTGCAAGATGTGATCCTATTGGAGGGCGCACGTGTAGAACAATAGAAAACAATGACCTTTCCCCAACCCCGCCCCTAAACCTAACCAATCCGGCACTGGGGACGTTGTGAATTCGTGAAGCTTAACCCCCCTAAAGATGTCCTGCTGGCAGAATCTTCTTTAATTTTCCCCCAAGTGGCGACAAAAGAAACTAAAAGGGAGAAATTAAAAGAACACTGCCAGCAGGGTAGACCCAACCTAGACCACAATGCACCACAGTTTATCGAAATTAGAAAAGGTCTATGGTAGTCACGTTTTGTTCGTTTCTCCCCACCCTAGTTGAGGATTTTACTTCCCCTTCACCTGTGCAGATGTCCACCCCCCCCCCCCTGACCCAACCCACCTCACCCTACCCCACCCGGAACAACAATATCATACCAGTAAATTTTTACTTTCTTGGCATTTTATTATATTTATGTTTTAATGTTAAAGGACAGCTGTCAGCTTTTCTCCCAGGGCGAGTTGTGTTTTACAGACTTTTGAAAGATATACAATCATCAGCAAGTCCTGAAACGAAAACAACAGGATGTAGATTCGATAAATAAAATGTCAAAAACCATAGATGAGACAAAATGAATAATAAAATGGAATTTTACTTCGTGATATCTGACTGAGAAAGTTTAATAGAAAAGCCAACTCAATGATCCAAACGTGTATAAATGGCATCAACATGAATGATTGACAGAAGTCTATTGCAGACTACACGACTCGATTTGTGTCTGGGGTGGCCGCGTAGTAATGCAAACAACGGTAAACATGTGTATAGTAGAGAACATACTACAGTTGCAGTTCCAGGTTGTTTAAAAAGTTACACAGTAGTTACGTTACCTGCATGTTGCTGTTAAGCATGGCTTCAAATTCTTCAGGCGTCATCTTAGGAACTGCATCAACAAAATTTTTCAGCTCTCGACCTACATTATTATCTGCAGTAATCTTTCCATCCTAAATAAAAAGATATTCTTTGAGTTAAATAAATGAAAAAGGAAGGATGGGAAAATGAAAGAAAAAGTTGGGAAATGAAAGGGAATGAAAGGAACGTGAGGAGAATTGAAAGGGAAAGGATGAGAGAAAGGGGAAAAAATGGGAAAAAAAAGGAATGAAAGGGAAAAATGGATAGGAAAGCAACAGAAAGGGCAAGGAATGGGAAATGGAAATGAATGCAAAAGGAAAGAGAAATATAACTGAAATGAATCAAATGCAAAAGAAGGCATCTCTTTTTCTTAATTTTCCCATATTAACCCCAACTTGAGACATAAGATTACTGCTTAATGTTCCTCTGGTGTGAAGAGGGATGATGGTGTTGATGTATCATAGTGACCCAGCCATCACTTAGATCCCATATTCYGCCTAACACTTACCATAACAGCCTCAATGTAATTTATAACATCACCCAGCATGCTTGATAGATCGTCTGTAGCACTATTGAAGAGAGATATTAAAAATGATAAGATATTAAAATCTCAAAGAAAGCTATATTTAGTATACTAGGGCATGCTGTTCATTTCCTGGGGGGGGGGGGGGGGGGGGGCACAGTGCAAATAAATATGCAATTTTTTTTTCTTTTTAATATATATTGAGGATTTTGAGTGATGTTTCACCACTCAGTTGACATTCTATTCTTTCAAAGGCAAAATCAATTTGAAAATTAACACAGCAATTAAGGTTTCATATCACTTTTCTTTCATCTTTCACTAACAGCAAGGGAAAAAGGCACCATGTAAGTATCAAAGTGTCCCCTCAGACGGCCCCATGATGCAATACATTCTACAACTCTGGATCAGCTAAAAATAAAGTGAGGTCTAACCTGGTCACATGCTGCATGTCTGATATCAAGGAAACTGTTTTTTTGCTTGCAAATTTAGTTCTCTGTAAGACATCGACTGAAAGTATAAACACAAACTTCATAAAATATAAGCATAGGACTAAATTGAAATATGACAATGGTCTCTATAGACCTATTTACCCTGGGCATAATGTTTTCCAATTTTAGACCATGTGTCATTCCCTATATAGAATATAAAAAAAACATATATTTCACAACCACCACTCCCCATGAGGGGCTCTTCCGTGAGTATCATTTCCTTGTTTAACGGTTGCACATGAGAAGACAAATAAATATGGATACAAGTCAACAAAAAAATCTTATTCCCAAGAGAAATCACGGACATGTGGTCTGAAATGGGCAAACATAACACCCAAGGTAAAGAGGTCTATTTAGCTGATTAAGCGTAAAAGGAATTACTTTTTACATTTACATTGCTTTTAAGTAACGGCAAGTAACTGTGAAAACATTACACCCAACGTGAAGAGGTCTATCGTATAAGTGTATACATATTTATTTTAGTTTTCTTACTTCCAACTTTCTCAGAAGCTGTGAGCTTGATTTCACAGGGAACCTGACTGAATATGGTGCCCTCTGTCTTTTCTGGAACTCCCATTTTTACACTGAAAATCATAGATGAAAGAAAGGATAATTAGATAACATTATTGAAATAAAATACAGGGGTGGCTCCAGGAAGGTGATAAGGAAGTTGCAATACAGTACCCCTTCCTTCTATTTTCGTCAAACTATTACCAGATCCTATACTTGAAAATCAAGGGTGGCTCAATATAAGTACAGTTGTTTGTATCTAAGCATGAACACTAGATACTAAAAAATATTTTAATTATTGGTCGCTGAAATATGGAAGTTAGTCATCCGGAAAGTGCACATTTGGCACATGCCTGGCTGACTTCAAAGTGCAAGACATTGGACAATGTCCAGCCAAAACTGGTATTTGTCTGGTCAAATCTTTGCCTTGTTGGAAAATTTGACCAGTAAGGTTTAGTCAGAAATAAGGTATGACAAAGTTAAAACTTTCCATCGTGCAGGGCGTCCTGCAGCTACACTCTTGGACACCTTGAAGGGTGATACTGGGGCGGCCAACACTGCCGAGCTTGCCACCTGTATGTTAGATGGTGTAGACTGGATCAGAAGGTRTGCAGCTCGGCTGAGGATGCCTTAAGTAAGTAAGTAAGTAAGTAAAAACTAATTTGGCCTGTGATCATGACCATCAAGTGATCGGCCATTATTTCAAGCCCTGATGGTAATAGAACCAATACCTTTGGTAGGCTTTATAAGCCATTTTAAGGTTCTTGAGTGTTGTGTCAACAGTGAGGTGAATAGGATTATTGGTTTCTCTTGAGTAGTATTCATGGATAAGAAGAGAGTGTTCTGTCACATCTGGTCCTGTAGCATACCTGAAAAAAGAAAAAAAGAATCCCATTAATAATAGGCTTTTATGAGCTTCCTGTTGTAAAAAAATATATCAAGTATTGATGGTTTTCACGGTGGCCATGTTGGAGGAACTTAACAAAAGCATTGTCAATGAATTCTTCTTCTATCCTCCAACATGGCCACCGTGTCTTTTGTTATTTAATTTTCTTGGGAATGGTTGAAAACCATCAGTTATTAAATATTGTCCCCTATAATCAAGATCTTGGTACGCTCCTGGGCCAAGTTGTACGAAGGATGGATAGCGCTATCCAATGGATAAATCTTATCCAGTAGATAAATTAATTGGATAATGGCGTCGAATTATCCACTGAATAAGGATTTATCCATTGGATAATGCTACCCACCCTTCGTACATCCAGGCCCTGGACAATTCATTAAATGATCATTCATAAAGGAAACCCACCATCCAACAATCTGTTCCTTAGGATTTGCTTTATTTGCAAGTTCATACATGCTTTTGGCATATTCTAGTTCCACAGCAACCTGAGTACATAAAAGAAAGCAGAGTTATATCTATACTAGAACAAAGAATACTTCCAACTACAGTATAGTAAAATTTAAAAAATTAAAGCTTATGAATTTCAAACGTTTACATTGTACGTAAGTTTATTTATAATATACTTTAGTTCGTGTAAGACTTATATCATTAATTTTTACAAGAAAAATAGGATAAAAAAGCTAGGATATTAAATATGGATAGCTGCGATCAGCAATCTTAAAAATCTGAGCATTTAGTGGTATTCAATGATTGAGGAACACGTTTACTTTATCAAATTTTCAACTCACTTCGTCGGCAGATTCGTTATGTGGGACACCAAAACAGCTTTTGACCTCGACTAAACCTTTATCAACAACTCCTAGAAGAGTCCCTATAACTCTTTTCGCCTCTTCATTCCGTCTTTCGTAAGCGTCTACGATACTAAAGAGAACAACTGGGTGAATAAGAACTTTCTTTGCTCGACCGGACGCCATTTTGGATTCTGTGTTTCACGTGGGCTCAATCAGCCAGAAATGACGTCATACCACAGGAAACCCAAGCAAGGAACCAAGTTATGGGAGAAGCTTGACGCTTTGAAAAATAGCTCATGATTGCAGACTGATGGTCACGAATTCAATACCCGACAGTTTTTACTAGTAAATTCCGAAGATTTCTCAACTAAAACGGATTGCGGTCGATTAAGGATTACGAAAAAAAAAACTAAAATAAACTAGCAAAAGTGGGCATCAGTTTCAGGTCACCCATCCAGGTACTAACTTTGCTCAACCGGACTTGACTAAGTGTCATTAAAGCCCAAGTTTTTTCCACTGGACCACGGTTCCAGGTGAATCAGCATAACAATAACCCTGAAAACAATGCACCAGATAGACTAGACTTTTTAACAATATTTTTTCAACCGATTCCGTGCGTGGCAGAGATGCAAGGGATTAGCCGATATGGTCTGGGGGCCGGCTGGTCTCTCCCCTGATGCTTCGGCTAGAACATTTTCTTGCGTAATTCGTACACCCAAGGGCAGAAGGATTTAATCGCCGTCAGGTCCGAAGTCCATACGCCGCCCCAGCTCTGCGGATGTCTCGGGGGTATGGCACAGTGGAGTCGTTTTTTTTCTATCTCTCTTTTATTATTATTATTATTATTATTATTATTATTATTATTATTATTTATTTATTTATTTTTATCTCTGTCGGAGGGTTCAAGGCCTATCGTAACAAGATAATATTATTTTTTTAATGCATCAGCAATATCTTTATAGAAAGCGTGACTACCCAACCCCAAATTCTATCGCAAATACCTAATATATTTTTCTGATCGAAATGCCTCCAGAAAATAGATTACTGATGATAGCTTTCTTTCTATATATTGCTATAATTTCTGTTTATAGGCTTACTGTGGTCAAACTAGTGTTTTACATTTTGTACCTACCCCTACTAAGTAAGAATTGGTACAACAATACTTTCTTTGTGGGGGGAGGGTATGAGGATGATATTAAATCTAGCATTTATATATTGAAATTTAGTTTTTATTGTAGCTTCCTTTTTATCAATGAATTCCTAAAGCAGGATGAGAACTTTTAAGGTATATTTATCATGAGTTTTGCATCTAAAAGTGCAAAGACAAGTGAATAAATATTCTCAGTCTACCCCCGAAAGTAAAGTTTTGCACTCTTTTGATCAAAACCAAGATGGCGGCCCACAGAGATACAAGGGCTGCATTGCCTTTACCTTTTAGAGCTAAATTTCTATCCTACTCGGTGTTATTATCATTAGTAATAGTTATTTTATATTCTAATGTAGCGAGTAGTAAAAAACCTGACCCAGAAATGACTCCCAAGCTCGATGAATTGGTAATTACAGTGGAACACGCTTTGAAAGAGAACTCCGACGGCCCCGACTTCAAGCCCCGTGGCACAATCTCTTTACGCTCACTGAAGCAACAAACGGGAGTCTTTTATCAAAGAGACCAGCTGACGAGAGAGGAGCTACGGCTTATCAAAGAGATGGCTCAAAGCAAGGATGATGTCTACTATCGCATACGAGTTCCTTCGCATTTTGGAACTAGTGAGAAAGACGAAAAGAAGTTCGTGTCTACCTATGTTAGAGCTYGTGCTTTATACGAATCTAAACTGACAGAGACGATTACGATAGCTGTTGATCATCTAGGGTATATCTATGGTATAGGACTGAGAGTCCCTGTTTCTCAATGTGAAGGGAAGATTCACGGAGCAGGATGGCTACCGGCCTATTTCAACACTACAATCAACGTTCTAAGCCAGGCTCCTGGTGCTCTACCTGATACTCAGACATACGTTCAAAGGCTAGAGAAGGAGAAAGCAGAGCAAGCTGGCGGCAAGGGTAAAGATAATCGCTCATTTTTGGCCAAGTATTGGATGTATATTGTTCCTGTGGTGATCTTCATGTTGATGTCGTCACAACAGCCTGAGCAAGGCGAAGGAGGAGGAGGGGGAGGCAGTTAGGTGGACTTGTGGAGGGTAACCTTGAAGCTTGTCAAGAACAAATCGACAACAATATTCTTTTTTAGAAGAGATGTCAAAAAGAGACTAAATTTGTTTGGCTTCTGTAATATTTTCCCATTTCAGACATGGTGTTTTCTCCTTTACAAAAAAAACCTTCACATTTTATCAAACCATAGTTCCCCTCTATTAACTATGATCAAACCCTGAAACAACCTCTGAGCTAATCTAAGTCAGAGCACAGCTAATTCACAGATTGAACCCTCAAACAACCTCTAAGCTGTCGTAAGTCAGGGCACAACTAACTCACATACATGTATTGAACCCTGAAACAAATTCTGGGTGGATGAAAATCAAAGCTTCACCTGGAATRTAGTGTGATAGGTTTGCAGAGGGAGAAAAACTGGATTCTAGGAATCAAGCCTGGGACCCCAGGTGAGGGGCAATCCAGTGTGCTACCACTATGCTACCTGATTCCTTCTAGGGAGAAGAGATTTGAGGTGAACTTTAATTCACCTCTGATCTCTAGGAATAAGGCACTTTTTTAAATGTCATTCCTATTAAGGTACCTACTCAAAAGAAATAATGCTCAAGTGAGCAACACAAGGTCTGAAATGTGAAAATAAAAAATGAAGTCTATCTGAGTCATGWCCATATTTATAAACTTGGTACCAACTTCATATATACAGTATTAATGTATATCTATGAGACCTTGAGTTCTCTACCAATTTCTTCTTTTTTTCTTCAATAGACCCCTCGCATGTGACCTCAAAGCTGCTCGATCTGGACTTAGAACCTATTGTTTTGTACTCCAGATTGAGCTGCATTCCAATGTGCTGCAAGGGGTCTATTACATAGATAAAGCTGTTATCTTGTTGAAGTAGCTTTTGGTGGATGCCAATCAAAAAACATGAAATATTCAAGGGCACATGCCTATGGAATGCCATGAAAACACCTTGATTGACATCTACCAATACCTACTTTGTTACCATAGCAAATTGTATGATTCTGTACATGGTAGTGACTTTGAAAGTAGAATTTATGCTGATTGTGAAGTCTTATTTTAAAGTCCCACTTATTTCATAATTTACATTAAATATCATTCCACTTTGCTTTAGATTTTTTTTTGTTATGCGAAGCATTCAAGGTGTACCTTTTGTAGCACTTACTTCTTAGAGCAAACTTATAATAGGAGTCAATTCAAGGGGGGTGTAGTGACAGTACACTCTGCTCTCCTCTGGGGTCTCAAGTTCAATCCTGGACTCTGAATCACATGTGAGTAGTGTTTGTTGGATGTCTTGGATCCCTTTGCATCCTTGTTTCAAGGGTTTTGATCCGGGGTTTCTACCTCTGCAAAATCTAACTTGCTACGTTCTGATTCAATCTGTGAATTATCATAATGTCCTGCCCCCTTAGTGAAGTGTTCACTATGAATATACTATATAAGGTCCATAGCTGATGTATCTCTCCATGATTAACTGGTCATGCCTTAATAAACGGTTTCTAATTACACAATATATTTCTTGACTCATTTTCTCTGTGTTTAAAAGAATAAAGAATTGAAGATAGAAGATAGAGGGGTGAAGGTAGCCTATTTTTCGACAAAAGCCGTAGGATAAAACGCACAATTAATGTTCAGGTTAATTTTCTGAGAGCAAACTACAATGGACTGATGTGTTATTGAAATGATAGTTTACTATAATTTGTTTTGGATCCCGCATTAAATCAGGTTCTACCTACCTGCCGAAAAAAATACCACATTTGTAAACACAAGCGCTGAAGTTCAAACTTACTATCTTCGCTGGTCTGAAAGGAGCTTAAAATTGAAACCAAAAATGAAACGAAGAAAGCAAGAAACAATCACCACTTATATATCAACTTTAACGGTAAGATAGGCCGGATATTTAATTAATTAAAAATCTTATTTTTTTACTAAATAATGTTTTTCTCCGAATTTTAAAATATAGGTGAACTTTGGTAATAATGAATCGACGAAATCAAAGCCTCATTCAAAGGTGGGTCGACAGGTAAAATGTTCCGGCATTTTTTGGCATTCAAAAGACTATATTAAAACTCATTGATCAACTTCATCTCTTCGCTATTCCTCATAAACGTATAATTTTCGAGTTTCCAATTCCTGACACTTTTTTGCCTCAGTTCGCAAGTTTAGAATGCTCTTTAGCATGAGGCGTTTCATCGGATAGAAAAATGAAATATAAGAAGTTGTCCAAAAAATCATCTCGAATCATCACCATTTCACGATCTTAATAAACTGCACACTGAAATATTGTAAATCACTGTTTTCCTAATCAATCGTTATCCAAATTTTATCGCGCTAACCTAAAAATTTTGGAAAGTTTAAGGAATTCATATTTATTGTTAAACGAAGTGTCTATATCTCGATATTTTTCGTCACTTTCGTACGACCACAAGCTATTGGAGTTACTATTATTTTTGTTGTTTTATTTTCAATTGGTTTTCTAGATGATAATGGAACGTATAATTAACGCTTATCTGGTCTTAAAAGAAAATTATTTGTTTGTGTCGAGGAGAAATATTTTCTAAAATGACACCTTATAAGATTGAAGGAAGCTGCACCTGTCGTGGACATGATTTCAAAGCTAGAAGTTTTTGTTTCTATGCTCCCTTACTCGTACGCTTCAAAGAACCGCTCTATAGAGGACCCAATGTATCGATCCCCAAGAAAGATTTAACAAAGCCACTTTTATTCATTTTTGGTAAAAAAAATATATTTATCTGAAATATCACATATAGTGTCTGTCATTTTAGTTTCTCAATTTTGTAGTTTTCGATTTCCTTCTTCCAGCGATTTCAGTATCAAATGCTTGGGTCTTGGATATTAAAAAGAGTCGACTTAATTCTAAATTATTACCATAATAATTTTAATGAATTTTTCTTCCAGTCTCTCAACTCACCTTCGAAGCAGCAAAATGTCCATTCCTCTACAGCTTACCGCACCGAGACTACGGAGGGTTCGCAGTCTTACAGGCAAGCAAAGCAGAATTCAACTGGAACTTACTATCAGCTCCCCAAATCCACCTCTTCAAATAGCAGCAGCAAAGGACCAGCACAAAAAAATACAGCTCCCAAAAATTCCAGCTCTTTTCAAAGCAGTAGGGCTTATTTTGAAGATTTGAGTACGAGCAGTGGAGACGGGTCACGGTCGAAGAGCTGCACTAGTCCCGATGTACAACGGCCGAAGGTAGATAGTTCATGGCGCGATATTTATCAGTCTTGATATTGTAGGTAACGGAGCGCCAAATTGCTGAGAAAGAGCTTACAATTAATCCGGCTCTGCGTATTTTTCATCTTTTCCTTTTTAAAAGAAATGTTTTTTCCTCTTCTTCATTCCTCCTCCTTCTTCTTCTTCTTCTTCTTCTTCTTCTTCTTCCTCTTCTTCTTCTTCTCTTCCTTATTATTCTTCATGCCATTTCTTTCTAGACGCGGCGCAACAAATTTACTGGTTACAGCGTCTTTATTGTCGTGTGCGCTGCACAAACAGTTCGTTATGATATCAATACCACAGATCTCAGTTAAACTTTTCCCATACCACACAATTCTCATGTAATTATATTGCCTATTCAGAATAATTTTTCAAAAGAGTCAAAATTCGAAAACTCTTCGCCGCCAACAGCAGCAAAATGGGTAAGAAAAAAGACTAAATTAAGAAGGAAACTTCTAAGTTTTCAAGCATTTATTTACTGATTTTGTTCTTTTACTGTAATGTAGAAAGCTTACGAAAGCGAATTCAAACCCGAGGCTTCGACATTTGATTCTTCAGTCAAGGTATGTTAAAACTGAGTATGATTTTATTCTCGTCATATACGTTTTTAATTTTGGACTTTTTTCACTGCAGACATTGGACTCGCCCAAAACAAGGTCGTCTTCTTCTGTAACCAAGGTAACGCTTGTTTTTCACTTGTGCGAAACATGCGCAAACGAAAGAACAGATTGAAGAAGTTTGATTATTCAGTGTTTTACGAGTAGTCAGAACCTCACAGAAAAGTGAACGAGTTCGAAAAAATATAACTAACACTATTCAAAATTCCAAGTACAATTTGGAATTTCAAGCTTTTCTAGGTAGTATTATCAACAGGCTGTTTTCGTCTTTTCAGAAATCTACAGAGAGCCGAGTGTCCAAAGAGTTAACGACAACTACGACCACGACTACTACTACTACAGTTGAGAAGCAAGGTTCGTCTAGCGTAAAGGCGGAAGTGACGTCAGTAAAACCAGCCACTGATTATGGCGAGACAGACTGGTACTTGGACATTCTACTTCGCATGCAGTCCCTAGAGATGAAGCAACAAAAGTTACATGCGCAGTACGACTTCCTCGGAAAACTGGCCAAAGAGAACCGGGAAAATCTGAAACTATCGAGAGACTGGGCACGATATAATGCTGATAACTTTAAAGTGGAGGCTTACTGATARAAATGATCAAGTTGCAATAGAAACAGGTTACCATGGAAATAAGGCTTAAGATTTCTTTAAAACGGCGAAAGTAATGCAAATAATATTTGTAGAYAATGATAAACTGATAATAGGTTATTGCATAGATCAATAATAAAAAGCGCGCGTAAATTAATTTAATAGGAAAAAAAAACTAATTTTGCATCAAATCCCAAAATTAATTCTTGGTGGAGACATTATAAAGCTAAGATTTTCATTTTCATCCATATGACGCCATAAGATGAACTTTAAAGTGACGTCATGRATAAAATGACGTCATAAAGATTTAAAAATTAGGTCATTAGTGGTTAATAAAGTGAACATCATATTCTGATCGAACCTTTCTCTGTTCGTCTTCCATTTTGRAAGACTTACAATTATATTTACAACGAAAGATTTTTCGTAAATCAAGGTAAGAAAAAAGTGTTAATTTTTTAAGCATTTAACGGATCAAAATGGAATTGCAATTGTAAATTAGAACTGAGGGAAACGCGCATGCCATGACAGTTCGACGGAAAGCACGCGCAGACAAAAAATGTATGAAGTGTAAGAAACTTTCCAAAATAAGACCATGTRAAAAAGGAAACTCCTTAGAAAAGTTCTTATAAATTTAAATATTTGCTTAATTTTTGCTGTACTATTTAGTTTTTGTGTTCACACCAAATTGTATAAAGATGCAAAACAGAACAGACTGTATTCAGTATCGGAACAAAATTACAAACGTTTTATCCTAGCGCTTTTTAGTTGCGCGCTGTTTTGGTCGCATTCTAGCGGTGTTGTTTCACATAATCAAAGCAAATGAAATACCGAATTATTTTCTCCGATATCGATTTTTGCTAAAATAAAAATATTTACTTTTGTTATTAATTTTGACATCTTGTCCTTTCACGCATGTTTGTATGTTTAAATAAAAAATATTTATTAGTGCATGAATATAAAGTCCCCAATATGATCTAAATATTCCGATGGAAAATTCTGTTGTGGCAGTAAGCCAGACTTTTTCGGACTGTGGATGTTCATTATGCGAATTCGACCACATTTTACGCCTTTTACAATCGAAAGGACTTAGAGGATGATACATAATGCAATATGGTGTCTGTTTTGAGGTGCACGACTAATCCCTACTTTCGGAATGGCTTGCTGGCTAATCTTCGGAAGAATTTTTCAACTTCATATGTTGGCCTGCGAGTTTTTCTATTAAAGTTCAACGTTGTAGGCGAAGACAATTTGCAAGCTATCGTAGCATGAGGTAGACGTTTCAGATAAGTGACCATTTATTTTGCACCATGTGAAGTATAGATCATGCTGCGTAGGATCTAGTGCTATATTGTATCAAGCAGTTTATGACAGAACAATCAGTATTAATTCTGGATCAAAGTCTATAGTAAGTTTCGCTTTCCACCTTACTTTTATTCACTTTGATGGCTTCCCTGACCGACTAGTTGTCATGACAGCACACAAATACGAGCCTTCATCAGTTAACCCTAAAAATTAACGCTGTAATAGTGTGGAAAGTATAATTGAGTTATTTTACACAGACCTAATTCAACAGAGTTGATCAAGTACCTCAATTTTGACAAAGTCAGTATCTTATTTGCTCGAGGGAAAAATAGGTGTCTTAAGGTGTACAWGAAAGTCCCATGGTCAAGCTAACGAGACCATCAAAAAATACCATCACCATGACAACACTGAAATGCCTCAGTCTTTCCAACGATGCTAAATTATGGAACAATAGACCATAAGATTCTATGTTTGCCTATCATTTCCAAGGCATGGATTCAGTTAATTATATTATCAAGGAGCATGTGTGATGCCAGTGTTAAAGGCTTAACACTTCCATAATCAACCCGGCTTAACAAGTCCAATGAAAACCAAGATACAGACTTCAAGCATTACTGAAACAAAGACTTCGTTAATGTATATTGGTCTATAGTTTTAAGTACACTCATTGTCACAAACAAAGGGTTTGTCAATGGTAAAGACACCACTCCGTAGTTTCCATGACAACCAGGCATATGGCTTGTTGGATAAAAACTAGTAACGCTAATTTGTTTTCAAGTAAGACATTTAAAAACGCCAGAATTACTCAAATGGGAAATATTTTTATTTGCTGAAGTAAACTGAAATGTTTTGTTTTGGGTCTTTTAAATTTGTGCGTGTGTGTGGATAATTTAACGTGTAAGAGTTTGAGAAAATAAGTAAGATTTTTTTTTTCTGAAAAATATTTAGACACGAGTAAAAATTTTCAACACGGATTACTGATATTTAGAATTCCAGTTTACAACAAAAAACTTGATTAAATACATGAGGATAGTTTATAAAAGAACTAACTCGTTGAATTGACAAAAAACTGCAAGTAAAGCAAACAGCAGTTTAATGTTTAAAAAAATGCAAGACTGCCCAAAAATTTCAACAACAAAAATGTTTGAGTTAGTGTAATTGTACATCAGCTCTAAATTTTCATAAAATTGATAATTTACGAGTAGAATATGRCGTTTTACTCTAGCTCTGTGTGTAATTCACAAAACTAACGATGTTCAACTTTTAATGCTCTGTTCGGACAATAGCTTTTCAGGCTGCTGTAATTTTCTTTTTCTTTTTTTTTTTTTTTTTTTTTTTTTTTCTTTTTTTTAATTTAAATATTATTGATCATTTTTGGAATTAAGGTGATTTCTAGGCTTATTTGGCTTCTCAAATCCCTCTACTGGTATAATTTTCATAAAAAACGTTGGTCTTTCTGTTATTTCTAACCTACGTTCTTGTGTTTCTACAAACAGACAAAAACACGTGGAACTACGCTGCAYCGGAAATCCGCCAAGTCCTTAACCGGAAGTAATTATCAACCAATCACAAGTGGTATAGTGAGTTTTAATCACTTGAAGGACCAATAGACGCTACTAGTTGTTTAGCCTGGCCGTGGTAACTAGGCAACGCAAGACGCTTAGAGATATATAACAGCTCTGATTTCAGAAAACATAAATTCCTTAGCTCAGAGCCATACAAAGGAGAATTTAGAGTTCCTTAAGGAGCTTTCTTCGTTGAGCTTTTTTCTTAACTTGTCCTTGAGAATTCTTCAGGAAAATGACAACGCAATCGTTCGTCGAGACCGCCAAGTATTTGTCGTCGTCTTCGTTCGATCCACCTTCGTATCTACGGCCAACAGGAGGTCCCTACGAGACAACATACACGGCTTCGTTCCAAGGAATCAGACCTCACACTACACCATATTCCATGAGACCAATCACGCTTTCAAGATCTTATGAATTCCCTTCTAAAATCCTTCAAGGATCTTCCAGTGGGTTGGAGCATCTCCCTTATACAGCCGTAAATCAACGCGCGATTCATAAGTACAGCCCCCAACAATGGCGTTCTTCGAACCTATTGAATGTATCTTCTGGTGAGAAAGAAAGAGCAACAGCTGAGAGGCTCAGAGATGAGTGTTCTAGGCTCCGCACGGAGACGTCTCTCCGTACTCACCGCACGCAAATGGACGTCAACAAGAAGCTTGACAACCGCATTCACGATATATCGTACTGGAAAGCCGAGCTTGAGAAGCAACACAATGAAACAGTAGCAGAGATCAAGGCCCTTCAAGCTTTTATTGGACGTCTCGAGAAAGCCTTGGCTGCCACAGAAAAACCTCTGAATATCGCTCAGCAGTGCCTTGGGTTTAGAGAGAGGAGAGTTAAGATTGACTTGGTACACGATAGTGTAGAAAACCATTTATCCAAGGTAAGAGAACACCATCAAACATTCTCGAAAGCGGATATGTTTGATAAATATATTTGTAAATCAAGCAAAAATTAAAAACCCGTCAAAAGGCATGTATTTCAGTATTTTTCTTCGATTTACCAGAATTATTTTAGGTGATTCTGAAACACCTTGAATTATAAGAGTGCCGTGCTCTTTAATTAGAAACACTAAATGAATAACTGTTAGCAAGCTAAAGACCCTCGTTCCTAGCAACCGGTTTCTGTGTCTATTCTTAACCCACAGTGATGAGAGTTTTTGGTTAAAAAAAAAACAAAGAAAATTGAAATGAATTGTTCTCATTTAGAGATGTTTTGGAGAAGCAAAAAACAGCTGAAATCAACTCGGTATTATTAAGTTTTGCTATTGATCATTGCAACATAAGTTGGTTAAATATTTATAAGTTGGACGACTGAATATGAGGGTTTTGAGACACCAGTTTACAATAACACAAAGTCTGTAGTAACCTAAAAAATTTAGCGTGCTTTGAAATTATTAAAGTTACAAGACTTAAGTTTATGCTTGGGTTCATAATCCAGTTATTGTTTCCCAAAAACATTTCACAGCATCTTCCAGACCCTCCGTCTTCAATACCACTTCCTTTTTCTGTTAACTTAGGCGAGAATTTTTGAGATTAAGACTTCAATTTCCTATATTAGGAATTAGAAAAACACAAAGAATATTTTTCTAGTAAGTAAGATTGTTTTAAAAGAAAATGCGACCACTTTAAGTGATAAACTAGTTAAAGTTCACTCAACCATTAAATTTTCAAACAAACTCGGTTGCCTTGACAGCGAGGTCGGCATAGCTGAAACCATTACCAAATTATCGTGTCTTTTTGTACAATTAAATGCTACCTGCCGTTATCAAAATTCATAACATAAAACCCATATTAAAAACTAAAACTATTATTTTTATTCCCAGCTGATTTTTAATAAACTAAAATGAGATATGAACTTTCTTAAAGCCGTTTATTTTGAGCGTTATTAAACCGAAAATTGCAAGTATTCTTAATTTTTCAAATTCAGATTTATTCCTTCTCTCGCCCGTATAGGAGTTAAAAGGAGACTCTGCTCGCAGGGTAATTCTATAGCTATCTTATAGACAATCTTTCTGCGTGTAGTCTTTTGGCTCACGCTTAGGTGTCTATATTTACATTCGTGGAAAGAAAACCGGAAAAAAATGAAGATAGACATCTAACAAAAGTCAAAGTTTCCAAAAATAATTCTTAGTCATGAAAATCCTTAGGTTTTTTTTTTCCTAACTTAAAAGTTTTTTTGACCTTGAGCTAGTTTCTTTTTATACCATATTCAAACTTTTTTTTACAGGAAGTCGAAATGATTGAAAATGTTCAAGCTTTGTTGAAGAAAACAATGGATCAGGCACACGAACAGCTTTGGTAAGACAGCGTCTGGCATTCTATAAAAATATATGCTAATACAAGAAGTCAATTTTCTATTTCTCCTGTTCACTCACAGCGTGAGTGCTAGACAGTCAAGTTTCAATTTTCTTCTCAAGATACTAATTTTCTAGGTGAATTTATTATTCTATTATTTCTTTCCAAATTTTTCAATTTGGTTTCTAAAAATAGAAAGAAATTTATAATTATATTTAAACAAAAATCTATATAATTGTGGGCTTTCATAAAAGGAAATATATACACTAATAATTATTGATAATATCAATGCTTACGAGAGTTTTCGTTACCAGGCTTTTACGTAACGCGAAGACCCAGCTGGAGAAGGACTTGGGCGACAAGTATGGCGCTTTGGGTATCGACGGCAAGTGCTCCACTCTGAATAACTTTTCTAAGGAGATTCACTTCGCTCCCCATTCGGTTACCATTCAGCAACAGTAAGTAGAAATAAGCTTTAACAAAACTTCTACTTGAAACGACTTCTGGGCTGATCAAAGTCAGGGCATGGTTAACTCACAGATTGAACCCTGAAATAACCTCTGGGCTGATCTAGGTCAGAGCGCGGCTAACTCACAGAAATTATAATTTAGCACGGAAGAAATGTTCCAGTTTTCTTTATCGTTTAAATGAACTGGTTTACGTAATCTCTAATTGTTTCTTTTGACGTCATTTTCAGTTCATTCACACCTGATGAATGGGAAGCTTATTCTTCAGAAAACATTGCAAAAGCAGAACGCGAAAGAAAAGCTTCAGTGGCTCTGCGTTCAGAGATCAATGGCATCCTCATGCAGACCTATGTTGACTTGAAGAACATTTACGAGACTGTGAACAACGAGTTCTCTAAGCGCATCCAAGACACGGACGCCGCAAAGAAGTCTTTGGAGAAGGAACTTGCAAGGGTGAGTTAACATTGAAAAGCCAACCAGATTACTAACCGTAAGGTTTCAAAGCGCTTTTGAAGGCCTTTTTCGCTGTCAAGACCGAAGTGCATCGTGGGCCATAGTGACCTTGTCTAGAGTAGGATAAATAATTATTATTTATTCTATTTTTAGTGTATTCCATCTGAAACAATATACTAACTACATGTAGAGAGTTTTAAATTGCTGTACATTTACTTTTTATTTCGAATTAACGAGACCCACAATGCCCTTTGGTCTTGGAATGCACTATTCAGTATGCAGTATTCAGTATTCAACCTTTTTTGAAATAGCTGTGTGCTAAAAGATCCCTACACTAGAGCTTAAGATTTAAAGTTTCAAGTTACTAATAGTCACATTTGCTTCCTCCAAGGTTATGGATGAAATATCCTCAATGGAGAATAACATCAGGGACCTTAGGATGGCAATAGGCGAAAAGGAAGCTCCACTCAAGGTGGCTCACACTCGACTTGACAAGCGTTCTATCCGTCCAAACGTCGAGCTCTGTCGTGACCCCGTACAGTACCGCCTCGTGGGAGAAGTGGGTGAGATCAATACCTCTATTGATCGTCTCAGGATGCGACTAGCTGAGGCAGAGGGTTCGATGCAGGCGTTGGTCCGCAATAAGGAAAATCTTGAAGACGACATCGAGGTCAAAACTAACAGCTTGTTTATTGACAGAGATCAGTGTATGGTAATCAGACAACAAGTCCGCCACATCTCTCACTGATGTCAACAAACTGTCAATCAATGAACTGTCAATTATTTGAAATTCTTCTGATTTCCTCAACACTTGAAGGGGTTTTCGAAGGGTTCATTTTGGTACAACAACTTAATTGCGTGCATGATATACATTTCCTTAATTAGACAATTTCAACAAAAACACTGTAATTATTAACGATCTTAACCGGCTTGCAAACATGAAAACTCCTCGGATAAAGCAGTATATGTAAGAGAATTTCTATATTGTCTGATGCACAATGGATAAAAATATTTATGCGAAATCAGTGGCGTTTTGATATTAATAAATAATAAACATATAACTATTACAGCTTTTCACGATGCAATAAGGAGGCTCTGGGTAGTTTTGGTCTGGCACACCTAGCCGCATGGAAACGGCTACAACTTCGTTTTGAATAACTAGCCTACAACTCGCCTACGACAGACGCGAGCGTGTTGTATACGATAGTTGTAGGCGAAAATCGTACTGTCTAAACCGGCCTTTAGAGTGGTTTCCTTTAGCCCGTGAAACAATCGTATAATTAGCTAGTAACAGTCGAAGTAAAACAAAAGAAAATCATGGATTTAGGTTCTACTTCTATGCATTACGTTTTTAATTACTATCCTTTCACGGGCCAAGTAAAATCACTTTAACTGCATTAACAGTGAATGATTACATTGAGATTTTTGAGATCAAAAAGCAAATGTTTCGGGATCGTATTGCGTCATGATTGGTTACCGACGCCATTATTCCCGAGAAAATATCGATCTTTCTCGAGTAAGTATTGACCATTTTTTATAATGAAGTATAAATGGTTGTAAATAACGATTGAAGTTATGAATTTCAGCTGGGTTGAGAAGTCGAGTATTTCAACTCTCGATTAGACAAATCGAAATAGCAATTTAACAAGTTTTTACAGATGAAAACCTCGACTTCTGAATCAGTTTATGTGTATAAATTGCAAAAAAAATAACAGAAAAAAGCTTGAAAACACACTGACTTGATGTAAAAATAAGAACTCATTTTTAAACTGCAAAGTCAAACAAGCGTGATGTATTAGCCTAACAATTTAAGAAATGTTGATATTGTGTGATATCGTTTGATAACTTCTTTAGATTCTTTAGATGCGTATCACCAAGAGACCATAAATATTTATGTACTCTTGGTATCAATGTTTAGATGTCACAAGAAGGGTTCTCCATCAATTGAAGTTATTAAAACAAGAAAGTAATAACTATGAAAAAAAGTGTTTTTCCTTTTTTCTCAGATGGTAACAAATTTGGAGAATCCTCTCGGGCATAAATAGAATCGTCTTCAAAACTCACATTAACAATAGTAATATTTAAAAACTTATGTGGATCTATGAAAGCTTGCATGTTTTTTGAAAATTGAAAAAATAAAAGATTTACCAAGAATTTGTCACAGGATACTCGTTCCTTAGAGGGCTATCAGTGAAGGATTTAGGAAAATTTCTTATGCTGAGAAACAACTCTGTTGATAGGATTTATGCCCAGTCTCTCTGTCGTGTTTGGACGTGAGGGTATGGGGATAGGGCCCCTTAAGGGCCTCCCAAAATGCTTTGCCTATCCATACGCTTACGTTTCGACGAATTCTTCTAATAGTCTTGAACGCATTTCTGCATGATGAGAATCACCTCTGTCCAGTCTCGATGGTAACAACAGACTCATACAGAACATCCCGCACACTTTACAACACTCGTCACCATGGCATGAATGGTCAGCAGATCTACACCATCGTAACATGCGCAAGACCAATATTTTTAGACAAGCAACTGTCGCCAGGAAAAACGTTGGARAAACAAATTAGCTTGATTTATTTTACAACTAGATTGAGGGGGGGAGGCGTGGAGGAGGTAGTCAGGATCATGAGGAGCAAAAAATTCTATCATTTTGGTTCAGTCTTAATCAGCCAAATTAATAAATATAAGTATGGAGGTAACATGACATGTCGTGACGTAGTGGTGAAGTTACCTTTTCTGGACATTCTGATTGGATGAACAGTAATATCGCACGCTGTGATTGATTCAAAATATGTTGTAAGGTCGGTACCGTGACCGTGTCACATACCTCTCCGTTTAGTTTAACAAGTATATAGTATGACAGTTCTAAACGATGGACATAATGCTTACCAATCACTATGGCAACAACAGCAGTATTGATGAGAATCAGCAGCACGGACACGCCCACTTTATCGTTGCGCTTGTTGACAGAGGGTGACATCTCGTCATCTGAAATCTTCAGCATCACTCCGATCCCAAGGTTAAGAAAAATTGCCATCAGGGCGACGGTTTGGAGAAAATTCTCAAACTCGTTGGCGATGGGACGAAGGTAAACGTACAGGATTGCAAACAAGGCGGATATAATCGCGCCTAGTCCTATTTGTGTACGGCTTTGCTTACCAAATAAGGTCAAACCGGAAATGAGAACCAACTTCCGGATCATCTCCACAGCCTCCCAATACCAGCAGCTTGGCTTGTAGTTCTCGTAGAACAGACTGAGGCCAGCTTTAAAAGGAGTTTCAGTCTTGTTCGGATTATACAAAATTGCATCCCCACTAGGATAGTTTCTGTTTTCTTCTGGTATATCTTGAAGTTCAGTCTCTTCTTCTTCAGGGCTTGCGGTCTTTCTAGGAACATATTTCCAAACAAGAAACAGAATCACCACAGGTAGCCCAATTGGGTAAGCGAGAAAAACGAAGGCAACCTTTGAGTACACCAGGTAGGGCGGAGCATCACATTTGATCGAGAAGTCACTCCTGAGATAAGATTCGCAGTACTCTTCATTCTCATCAAAGCAGAGGGGAACACAGTTGACGGAGAGGACCTGGACAATGCTGGTGCAGGTTCGTGGATATGTGGCGAATAACAACACACAGATGTTACGAATACACGAAATCTTGGTGTGCGTAACTCGCTCGTCRACCTCTCTTCCCATTTTTCGTCTTAGCTGAAAGATTCTAACGGCAAGGTAAAGAAGAATAAAGCTGACAATAACAACGTTTGCTGTTGATACCAGAACGAACTGTTCCAGCGCGTTGAATGATAATTTCGGCGTTACGCAGCTGAGCGGGGCAAACTGTAAGATGTTTAGTTGTATAAAGTGGAGCGTCTTCTCCATCCAAATTACAGTTGGAGGCCATTCGACTTTTGAAAAGGAAGAATACAATCCTGCCATGACCTACAATTGTTTGGGAAATAGTTATCTATTTAGGTTATCCCTTTCACCTCTGGGGTCTAGGGTACGATTCCTGGACTCGGCATTAGATGTGAGAAGAGATCGCTGGGTCTCTTCCTTGATTTAAATAGGTTTTCTTTATAGGTTATCCAGTTTTCCTCCCTCCACAAAACCTAACAAGCTAGCAGCTAATTCCAATTTAACCTGTAAGTTACCCATGCCTTGACTTGTTGGAACAACCCAGAGCTTGTTTCAAGGTATCGTTTGAATTTGAAGAATTTTGAAGGTTTAAGAAATGGATACGTTACACTATAGAAATCATTACAATTGAAACTGAGACCAATGAGATTCGAAAAAACTCACCTGATAAAAGCCAATGATGATTTTAAAGCATGACATGATGATATCAGTCCATGTACGTCCACCATTAATTTTCTTTCGTTCACCCCACAAAAGAGCAAAGAGTATGAAAACAAACATGATTAGAACACCAGCGACCTGAAGACCTGCCTGCAAACTTGATGGACAGCGGATACACCTGAGAAATCAAAATCAAAGAATACGTTTGTCAGGGGGATGGGGGCGAAAGAGGGGAACGTCATCTGTAAAAATTTGATTTTTTATGGAGGGTCTTATCTCCTACGCAGGCTACCCCACATATTCTCTGTTGGGATCGCTGTATTAAATTATATGGGAGAGAAGAACTAGGGACTAGAGAGGAGGAGGAGTTCGGACGAGAAAGAAGATGGTTAAACCTTTTTTATTTCGAAGATAGCTATAGTTCCTTGCAATTATGACTTAATAGGAGGGTTATCAATTTCTCACCGAGTGAAAGGGGGAGACCCAAACCCTCGATCCGCCCAAAAGGCGTACCTTCCTTAATTAATTTTGATACGCTATCGAGGATTGGTTGACTGTTCCCAGCCAATCAGAAGCGAGATAGCATACAAACCTATCGCAATTTGTTTTATCTAACCTGTTCATCCTGTCGTAGTACTGCGTTTTACACACGGCACACAGTGGACCCTCATATCCTTTATAACAACTAGACTCCATTCCTCCGAGACATGACTTGCGCGGGCACTTATGTGGCCTGGGGAGAGTTCCGTTAAATTTCCAATTCCTTTGTAAAACTTCACTACTCTCGATTTCCAGGTTCCTGGTAAAGCTGGAGTACTCTTCCTGGTGGCTAACGTTCTTCCATTTCCAGTAGTAACCCTCTGAGAGAGTCGCGTAGTCATTTTTACAAATAAGGGCCTTGTTGGGGCATGTTTGACACATTCCAAACCGGTCAAGACGATAAAATTTGTCGATACACTTGCAAGCCCGGTATCCGGCATGTTGACTTGAATTGGTACCTTTAATGGATTGAAGATGTTTGAAGATTATTAAAATCATTCCTGTATACCACAAATAGAAGTTATTGTTTTGACTGTGGAAAAAAACGCGGCACGGTCACGACACAGTCACGACATGGTCACGTAATGGTCACATCATGGTCACGAAATGGTCATGACATAGTCACGTAATGGTCACGACATGGTCAAGACATGGCTACGACATGGTCACGACACAGTAACGACGTGGTCACGATAAGTTCACGACATGGTCTTGATATGGTCACAACATGGTCACGATACGAACAAAAATGCCTTATGGGATATTTTATGTATATTATATACAGTACTGCTTACCCTGTGGGCAGGCCTGACACGATAGAGGGTTAGTACCCGGTGCGTTACTTGGGTGGACATATGTACCAATATTGCACTTCTTACAGCTAATTTTACCCATGTCGTCTTGGTAAAATCCACCTAAGAAATCAGGATCATAACACGGTAAAGACCTTTATACTGATACGGTGGTCATCTTGAATTATGGGATGCCGAGGGGGCAAACACGTAGAAAATGTATAAAACAGAGATTATAATTAGTGGTGTGGTTATGTTTTCGAATAATATGAATTCTTGGGATTTCGTATATTGTTCCAACTGATTTAACAAATTCAAATGCTTTTCAGACGTGCTTCTCATTGAAAAGCGTAAAGTTATTTAAAAAGACATCCTGACAGATGTGCAGTCTATAATTTTTTTAATGATTGGCTTCTTGGCATCCCATAATGTTTTCATTAAAACAATAGAATTCAAGATGGCCGCCGTATCGGTAATGCGGTCTATGGTCAAAATATTTGACTCGTGCTTCCTGTGTATCTTTCGTCCTCAATCTCAAATACAGGAAGCCCAATTCAGACAAAAGCGATACATGAAACAAATAAAGTCAAGTAAAATCTACCCCTTGATTGTTTTCGCATTTGCGGTTGAGGAAATCAAACGAAAATAGCTTCCAAGATATCTTTTTTGCAAGCCTTTGTTATACCAATCTCGTATTCGTTTCCATGTTCTGACCAAGAAAAATGTGGGCTCTGGGTACGAGGTTGATGTTATACTATGTTTAAGCATAGGCTTCCTATGTACGGATTTCTTACCAGGAGGACATTTTGTACATCCGGGCATGTCTATGCTTCCGTTACCATAGGAACCACTCTTACAAACCATACACTCATTGTCGTTTACGTGGTGCATGATGCAAGTGAAGCCTGATCGAGCGAGGGCATTTGTCACTAAGTCGTTCAGTCCTTTTATTGTATTCAAGCCGTTTGGAGCGCAAGCTCTGTATAAAAAATCAAAGCGCAAAATAAATGCTGGTCCAGTACACAGTACAGAATAATGGAGAAATAGAAAACGCGCGTGCGTGCTATATGCAGTCATAAAGCACGCGGGGGTTGGCAGAACACGAGAGAAGTGTTAGGAGACAGAACCCTCGACACTGTAACGAGTTTTCTGCCAATCCGCCCAAGTGCTTTATGACTCCACACAGCACAGCAAGCAAGATTTTTTTCTTTTATAAAATACATATTAGAATAACCGTTATTTTAGATAGGAATAACGCTACTTAAATTTATTCATAAATTCTAAAATGCCCTTTAAAAGTCTTACATGTTAGCTGTTGTATTTTGGTGAGTACATGGAAGAAATCCCAGATTTGCACATGTGATCACTCTGAAATAATCAAGCTAAGATCCGATTATAAAAGAAATACAAAAAGACCTCGTATAGAAAGAAAAAAAGTCGTATTCAAGAATAGATGGACTCACAGGTTGGTTTCGCTTCCCAAGTCATTGACGAAATCATCCTCAATGTAGGTTATTTGGTTCGAAAACATGTACCTAAATTAGATAGAAAAAATATTAAAATTTCTTTAACTTTTTCGATTATTTATTTATTCAAAAAAGTTCTCAAATTTCATTCTTTTTTCACTCACAAAGTAGTTGACGTTTTCTTCATTCCTTTAAATAGACGTCCAGTAAGGTTTGTAAAATTATTTCCGTTGAGAAATCTGTGGAGCAGAAAAAGTTATCAAGTCGTTAATTAGCGAAATTTAAACTCCACATTTGCTTCAGCGGCAACAAAATTGCAACTTGCGTTTACACTACAAATGCATCTTTTGTTTTCTAGGCTTTTTGGGGCTGGAATAATTTTTTCATGCAGTCTTCATAATAGTTCCCTTCACAGTTCCCTGCGCCATCTTGAAAGGTAGTCGTGCCTTTGCATCGAAGCGAGACCAACGGTGAGCTTGCAATAATAGAGACATGTGAATAATAATCCAAGCTGTTAAAAAGGTCACCGTTCGTCCCGCTTCAACGTAAAGGTACCGCTACCTTTCAAGATGGCGCAGCGGATGAAAGGGACTATTGCCAGGCTCATTTGAAGAAAGTAGGRAAAAAAAATTTTTTTTTCTTCTTTTTTTTTTCTTTTCTTTTCTTTTTTTTCTTTTCAGGAAAAACCTTAACAAAAGGTTACAATTTTAGAAGGAAAGCGGGAAGGCGCGATGCGAAAATATACTTACAGTTTTGTCAGCGGAAGGTTTTTAAAGACTCCATTGGGTAACTGCTTGATCTTATTGTTGAACAGGTATCTAAAAAAGATGTTGGCCAAAATAACACTTTAGAAACTATAAAAAGAGTTGTTAACTGAAAAAAGTACACCACTTAAAATTAAATAAAAAATGATTTTAAGTATTATCAGAAACTCATAAAGAGGTTGAAACGTTTAACACTATAACCATGCTCTGGAATATTCACATATGCAAATTAGGAGTTTCGATACCATATTTGGAAATATAAGTTTAGTTTCAAGATGGCCGCTCTCCTCACATTTCAAACTTCTCGCTGAATTATCCTGATATTCAGAGGCGATTTACGGAATTTTTCAATCAAACTTGTCCGATATCTGTTTTTAATTTAGTTTTGGAAATTTTTGAAGCAAAAGGACTTGATTTACTGGAAAGAAATTTGTAAAGAAAAAWGAATATTCGGAGCATCGTACCGCAAAGAAATCAACCACCTAATGAGTTTCTGGTTTCATATACTTACAATCCTTGTAGGTTTGAAAGACCTTCAAAACTGTCTTCATCAATAGACTCGATTTCGTTGTTATGTAGAAGTCTGTAAAAAAGACTCGCATGTTCAGCAAATAAAATATCATTTTTAAATGGATAAAAATACTTACATTTCGACAACGTCTGGAGAATTTTGAAGGAATCGACCTGGAACATGTTTTATATGATTATCAGTCAAATCCCTGTTGATGTAACGAAATACTAAATATAAATAAGCTATTTGTCAAAGACCTGGTTTCGCCGCTTTGCAGAGCACCTCGATATTAGTAGGGATAAGCTTCCCAGCCAACACTTTTCCCATACAAATCCTTGCTAAATGAGTCAATTTTATATTTCATGCCTTTTCTCTTATAGTTAACGTTATAAGCTGAAACGTCGCCTACCTACTTATATCAAAATGCTCTTTTCATTTCTGTTGTTCATTTTGACACACAACTGCTCGTTTTAAGAGAGATAGATATAGGGAGATAGGGTCACGTGACCTGTTACTGCAAGTTTTCTATTAATGTCCGTTCACTGGACTAGCCTATAACTAGCGAAACGTCTGAATAAATTTTAATTCCATTTTAAGGGACTCAGCTCGTTGAATGCACTTACAATAGTCTTCCGATAGTAATATTCTTGAAAATGTAAGATGGAATCTCTGAAATGTCATTATTACCAAATAACCTGAAAAACACGAATGAAAACTCAACACTATTCTTGAAGCCGCCATTTTGTTACTATTTTTAGAAACAAAATGGCGGCTTCATGACTATTTAAGAAATCATATCTTTTGGTTTCCATATCAGAAATGAACAAGTTTTGCATTTTTGAACTCCTCATGTACAGTTCTTTCAAATGCGCTAGTTAGAATTTTCCATTTAGGAGTCTTTCGATTTTCCGCTAAAATTGATGACGTCATTTTCCCGCCAAAAATGTCGGAATTCAAAAAGGTAAAACGACAGAGTTGTGAGATTCGTTAAAGTCTTCAATGTTACCAAGTTTCGAGAAATTTTGATGAAATACAAAAAAGGGTTGCCAAAATGAGACATTTTTTAGCCCTTCTATCCCGACGTGATAACACTCTTCAACAACAACAACGAAGACAACAAAACTAATAATAAATCATAAATAATAAAAGAGTGTTCCGATGACAAATATAATAAACCGTATTTGCTCTCATGGCTTTACTTACAGCTCCATTATAGAAATGATTCCATACTTGTTCAGAGAGCTAAAATCCGTAATTCTATTATTCGTAAAATCGCTAAAAAATTGTAATATAACAAAATTAGGGATTTTAAAATTACTAGATGCAGAAAAAGTAAGGTAGGAAGGGGGGGGGGGGGATTACGCTTTCATGCCATGAAAACTTGTTGGATGCGTGTTTTATGCTTAGAATATTAAAGCAGTTTTTGTATGACTGTGAAAAGACACGGCAAGGCATGCGGCAGACCGATCGCATTGCACTAGACCAATCACATAGCACTATAATTTACTCTCCATCCAATCAAATACCCGAAACACAGCACGGAAATGGTAACGCCAAGGTCACGGTGAAGTACCTAGAATTACATGGCGTGAGAAAGAAAATCCGCCAATCAAATCTAGAAAACATTACGGTTGCGGCAAAGTACGCATACGGCGGACTGAACTTTTCTCAGTCGTACGATAACTGGCCTAAATGAAGTAGTATAGTGAGTGTGGGCTGTGTCGTATATTTAAACAGCCTCTGGCAAGGAAAACTTAATTGGCGACTATTTCACTTCAATTTAATTTAATTTAAGTATACTTACAGTTTTTCAACATACTTTGACAGCCCATGCAGGTCGGGAAGCTTTGTTAAATTATTGAAAGACAGTTCCCTTGAATTGAAAATATTAAAGCTCAATCGACTTCAAACTTAGGAAGGAAGGATTGGATACGGAAGAGAGGACAAAAAGAATTGACTTATCGAAGAAATAAGAAGGAAAAAAAGAAAGAAAGAGGGAAGGGGGGAGGGAGGGAGGGAGGGAGGAAGGGAGGGAGGGAGGGAGGAAGGAAACAAGTGCGGAAACGAGCAAACAAGCTAACGAACGCACGAGGAAACAAGCAAGCAAGCAATTAAAGACGCAAACAAAGCAAAGAAGCAATTAGGAAAAGAGGAAGGAAGGAACGAAGCAAGGAAGGAAAAAATACTAAATAAAATAAAACAAAATAAACGAAACGAAACAAAAAGTAGTTCATACTCACAATCTTTTTATTTCCAAACAGTCCTTAAAAGTCCCATCTTCAATAACATGTAAATTATTTGATTTCAGATACCTAGAACGAAAAGGTCTCAGACTGCAAACCTCGACGTCATTTTAGGTCTCTTTAGGTCTCTAATAAAGGCTTTGCACCATCACGTGATGGCAGCCATGACAGGAGACACAACAAGAGAGTCTTTTCCCACTGGGAGACTGAATTCTTTCTCATGTAAATCAGATGAGACCAGATTCAATTGTTCCTGCCTCCTGTCATGGCTGCCATCACGTGATGGTGCGCTATTCAGAGTTCTAGGTACTTACAGTTCCATGGCGTTGTCTTTTGAAGTCTTGATTCCTTTAAAAGTGCCTTTTCTTAGAGTATGAATGTTATTACGAACAAGTTCCCTAAAAACAACATATTTAAAAATATAAACACTACGTGTAATATGAACTCTAGCAATTTTTAAATGGCTGTTAAATTCAGCAAATTCAGACGGGATGACTTACAGCTTAACTAGGTTACTCAGACCTACAAAAGTGCCTTCTTTGATGTCAGTCATGTGAGAACTTTCAATGATCCTTTAACAAATAAAAGAAAGACAAAATCTAGAAGTGAGGGTCTTGAATCAAACCGAGTTACGTTACTCGCCCGCGTACCCGTACGCGTACCCGTATACTTACAGACTATTCAGCTTGCTTATATCTTGAAAAGTTCCTGGTAAAAGATTGTCTTGCAGTTGATTTTCGGAAAGAGTTCTTAAATTAAAGTGGATACATTAAACAGTGAAATTCCGACACCATAAAAACAAAAGAAAGATTGATAGGGTAACAGGGAGAAACCAAGGGAGAAAAAGGGAGAAAAAGGGAGAAAAAGGGAGAAAAGGGAGAAACAGGGAGAAAAGGGAGAAAAGGGAGAAAAGGGGAGAAACAGGGAGAAAAAGGGAGAAAAGGGGAGAAAAAGGGAGAAAAAGGGAGGAACAGGGAGAAACAGGGAGAAACAGGGAGGAACAGGAAGGAACAGGGAGAAACAGAGAGAGAGAGTTATTAAATGATCTCACATCTGATGTATTTTCTTTAGTCCATCAAACATGCCATGGAGATCAGATGGCTTCATCATATTTCCTGTAAGATCCCTGGAATAAACCATGCAGCATCGACTGATCAGAAAACTAATTAATTGCGCATGTTACAATAATTTGCGGATACGAAAAGAAACGCGTGCTCTGTCGACAAAATTGGAAATTCTTTTGCTTATGGTAAGAAAAGGGCGGAAACTTTTATTCTTACGAATGGTACACGCGTCTACTGGAAAACTGAAACCGAAAAGAGCAGGAAAAAAGGATTCCTTAAATCGGAATACCGAGTGTTCCGGAACTTTTCGATTGAGATGACATGCACGTACCATTTGTTTTTCCAATCAGAATTTCTGGTTTTTCAGGGTTAAAAGAAAGCACCCGTGATTCGGCAACTCTTTCACTGAAAAGATACTAGACCTCTTGCACTAAATCCTTACCTGGGGGTCAAAACAATTGAATAAATTGAATTGAATTGAAAGAGAATTGAAGAAGGAAAAATTGATAATTGACCCCCAGATTGAGCTGCTTTGATGTCACATGCAAGGGGTCTATATAGAGTCTTTGCACCAACACGTGATGGCAGCCATGACAGGAGGCACATGCAACAACGAGTCTTTTCGGCCCCTTGGAAAATGGATTTTTTCTCATAGAAAACCATGCATGCCTGCAGTCAAGTGATGGTGCAAAGCCTCTATTGTGCACTACACGTTTGTGTTGCTGGAATATTACGGACATACAACAAAGGTTTTCCTTTTTTTGCAGGGAAGGTTGTTACGAATAACATCCTTAGAAACAAATGTTGCTACAAGTATCATACCAAGTAGTAGCTGCAGCGTGTTTGCGAGCATTAAGAGATCGAGTAACCAAAAATCACCATATGTAGAAATAATTTTCTATAAATTCCAAAATACGTAAAAACTTACACATTCCATGTGTTTTTGGGCAAGCGAAATTTATTGGACACCTTGTTATGTTGAATCATTCTGCAAAACAGAAGAGAATGTGTCATTCCCTAGAGTATCATTTCTTTGTTTAACGGTCGTAAAAACTGAAAAAAAGAATCTTATACTCAAGAGAATGACTAAACGTGTCTGAAATGAGAAAACATCAACCCAAATTGATCTTATTTTGATTGGTCTATTATCATCTTTTCCATTTCATACTCACAAGACTTGAAGTAGTTCAAAAGGCGTGAAGAAATCTTCGGGTACTTCAGAAATGGTTCCCTTGTGAATATAACTACGAAAAAAAAACTTGAAATTTGAGTGAATGAATGGGCGCCTTCGTCCTTGGACGTCGACATCATTTTCTTTACTTACTTTACACTGAGGTCCTTTGGGGGTTACATAAAATTAAATTTATCATGCAAGCATTAAACTTACACTTCCACCAACTTCGGCGGTAGATTCTTTGGCAGGGAATCGAGTCCAGCACAAGTCACTCTGCAATACTCCCCAGTCCACTCGCAGGAACACGTCCCAACGTTGGGTCGAGGGCAGTGATGTGTTGAATTCGTCAATGTGGGACGTTTTGGTTCAACGAACGTATAACAGTTCAAGAGCAAGTAAAATACCACGAGAATGTAAGTAGAAGTGTTCATCTTTACGCGATATTTTGTTGATTATCAAAATCAAATGTAAGATATTCTGAGGAATAAAAAGAAACGAAGACATATATAAGGCAGGCAGGCAGGTAGACAAACGCGGGCTTTGCACGTTGTTTATCAGTACTATTTTACGTCTATGATATTTTGTTTTCATATTCTCTTGTTTGGGTCAATAGTTCTTAATTAGCGGCCGTTATAAACAGAATAATTAACAGAGAACTCCACCAATTTCATACAAACCAAAGTATAGTACCACACAGCTATCGCTGGATAACCTTGTTTTCTTTTTGAGCTTCAAGCTACTTCAAGCTTCCTTCGAATATTTTTCCTCTCTAGCTTTCCTGTGATAATGTCGTGTGACAGGAATATTTGAGTGTCTCGAAATGTTAAGCCACTTTGCACACAAAAGAACTTCTTCCATGAGCTGAATGCTATAATAAACTCGTAAGCCGGTTCTTTCTTGCTTTTTGGTAAGCCAAAACAAAGAAAATGAAGGATAAAGAGCGAACGCTTTTCCGAATGAAGGACATTGTGCTAATGTCGCTTTATATTCACAAGCAACCGCTGAGCCGCGTGTGAAACTCAGATGAATGAATGGACTCGACACGACGTGCATTCTTATTTATGAATATCATCTCTGAACTATATGAAAAATTAGTAATAGATGACCGCCCTTTTGTTAGGTTTTTGTTTATACTACTATGAAATGACAAATAATTGTCCAATTTTTCATTCCCCCACAAGTTGGGATACTTGTGGATTTGGCGGGAATTTTTTCGCGCCAAAACGCGTGCAGTTGTAACCGAGTAAATCTTAACCTTCTCAAAAATTGCGGAAGAAATAAAGGCAGTGACTCGATTTGAAACAAAATGTAATAAAACACTGAAATAAAAGCAGAAAAGTGATGCAATAGCCCTTTTGTTAAGTTAAAACTTAGTTTCGCAAGGTCAGTAGGCCGTCGAATTGTTAGCCGTCCGTCAAATATGGAAAATAATTTTCTTATATCAACAGGGACGGCGGAACCGGGGGGGCTTTTTG